AACAAAACAAAACAAAACAAAACAAAACAAAACAAAACAAAACAAAAAAAACCCCACCACCACCACCAACAAAAAACCTCTCTGCCCTGGATGTTCACTGGAAGAAAGGGACACTTTAGCAAATCAACCATAAGTGAGCTAGTTTGGGGTGACTCAGTCAAGTTCAGGAGCTTCTCAAGCCTCTCTCACTGCCCATGGAGAATGGGACAGACACCGGCTGCAGTCTGGCCATCAGGGCTGGTTTCCGAGAGTCCCCTGCAGCCTTTGACTCTCTCCTGTAATGTGTGAATCCTTGTTACTTGCATAATGAGCAGAAGGAAGATGAAGCAGGGTCGGGGCAACCTGGGCTAACTTGGCAGGCTCATCTTCTTTTCTAGGGCAGACTCTGCCCCATCCAGACACAGGGATGACTGGGGCTCAGGTGGTACCACCAACCTCCCCTTCTAGTATCCTGTCCAGACACACAGACAAAAGAAGACAGTGGAAAACATGTGACAGACACAGCTGAACTCATCAGGTTCTATAGGAAGCCAGGAAGCCACGAGACAGTCACCAAGTGCTAAGAATGCTGCCTCCTAGTTCCTGTGTTTGAGGGGCCACTGGAGTCCCTGGTCAGAATTCCCTCATTCTAATGATGGGGAAATCATACAGAAGCCACAGAGAGGAAACTCAGACCCACACTGATCACACACACAGGGTGGTGAGCTAACATGCATCTTTATTCCTCAAGGCAGTGATAGTGCCTTCCTCAAGGTAGTGTAGCTCAGTGTGCAGAGCACTTGCTGGCACCCATGAAGCCCTGGGTTCAATCCCCAGTAGTGCAGAATGTAGGTGTGATGGTGAATGGTTGGAGTTTCGGCACTAAGGAGGTAGAGGCAGGAGGACCATAAGCTCAAGGGTAGCCTTGACTACACAGTGAATTCAAAGCCAGCCAGAGACCTTGAAGAGAGAGAGACAGAGAGAGAGAGAGAGAGTAGAGGAGAGAGAGAGGGAGAGAGGGGGAAGGTGAGAGAGAGAAAGAGAGGGAGAAGGAGAGAAACAGAGAAGAAAGAGGAAGAGAGAGAAGGAGGGAGAGAGGAAGAGAGGGAAGGTGAGAGAAAGAGAGAGAGGGAGGGAGAGAGGAATAAAGGGAAGGCGAGAGAGAGAGAAAGAGGGAGAGGGAAAGAAAGAAGAGAAAGAGGATAGAAGTAGAGAAGAAGAGAGAGAGGAAGAGAGGGAAGGTGAGAGAGAGAGAGAGAGAATGAGAGAGAGGGAGGGAGAAGGAGAGAGAGAAAGCACAAGCACAATCATCGACTTCAACCCCAGACCTAGAGAAGTTTAGTCTGGAGAAGGTAGTCCCTTGGCGTTAGATCCTAAAACTGACCTGAAGGTGGGGTCTAAGGAAGAGCCTCACAATCTCCATTGGTGACATCTGCCTTTGCCTCTCACCCTACCTGAGGTGAGGCCTTAGCTGGAGTGCACACTCCCCACATATCCCTCCATGGGCAAGCCCTGCAGGTGTAAGGAGCCTGGGGAGGAGTGGACCTGGAGTGTCCACAGCACAAGGAGTGGGGACGAGGCAATGTCTGAGGTCTGTGCCTACAGGGGACTTTTAGGTGACTTCAACCTAAAGAAGAGAGGGGCCCGCTCCCAAAGGGATCGTAAGCATGCTGTGGAAAGACAGACACCCGGGTGCCTGGTCCATGAGGCCTTTGCCTCTTTTGAGCTCTGACACTAGTTGACAAGACACACACCAGCTTTGAGAATCTCCTGAATAAACCACAAGGCCCACTGCGGGGCTGGAAAGCGGTGTGAAGAGGCATGGGGCACCTGTGCAACGGCCTGGCGGGCTGCCTGAGGCCCTCCAGCACTGGCGTATAATGCGGGGGAATCTGTGGCCACAGCCGTTCCCCCGGAGAGCTTGAGGACAAAGGCCCTGGCCAGCAAGAGAGTGGTGCCCTTCTTAAGGGCTCAGTGGATCTTCTTGTGACCCTCATGTCACAATGCTGCCTACTGCCCTAGGGTATTTGAGAGGGAAACTGTTGCTCAAAACTAATGCAGCTGGATCTTGGGGAAACGTCATGCTAGGCACCTACACAAGGGAAAAATGTTTTCCTTCTCCTACAGTCTCACAGTCTCACTGTGGTGTGCCCCTGTCCCACGAAACATCACAGTCCATTCATTAGGGACTGCTGGCCTGGTCTCCTCTTTTCCTTCCTTAAGAAAAGATCACGATAATCTAAAACTAATTCTAATTTCATTATTATTTTAGCACGTCTGTGGGTGTTTTGCCTGCACACATGCCTGGCTCATGCATGGGCTAGAAGAGGGTGCTGGATCCCCAGGGGACAATTGTGAGTCACCATGTGGGAACTGAACCCAGGTTTTTTGGAAGAGGAGCCAGTAATCCCAGCCCCTGAGCCATCTCTTCAGTCCCTAAGCCATTTTAAAAAAATATGTATATATATATATATATATATATATATATATATATATATATATATATATATATATATATATATATACACATACATACATACATATATATATCAGAATGCAAATGTAGAGGAAACACCCGCACTTCTAGGAAGACAGCCAGGAGGCCACACCATTCATTCTGAGAACGTTTCACTGGAAGGAATGGGTAGCGGTTCTTCAGAGCCCCAGCAGGCCTCTGTGCTGGGACACTGAGCGATGACAAATGCAGGCATTCTCAAAGATGTACCACCTTGGCAGGAGCATCTTTCAAAGAAAAGGCTTGCCCATCCAGGGCAACTCCTGGCCTTCCTGGACCACAGACTCTGCCCAGCAGTGCCACTGTTCCAGGATCTTCTGACCTGAGCCGTACTGAGCCACTGCAGGTACCCAGGCCCGGAACCCAGGACACAAGCCTTAACATTACTGAGCTGGCCAGGTTGAAGCCCACAGACCTGTCTCTGCTCAGACTGCTACCCTCAGGTTTAGCGTACGCTGCTCCCAGGAGTTTGCTCCTGAATGTCTGCATTAGCACTCACTTCCAAACACAGACAGAATTCAAGGCCAAGATCTGGCGGCAGATCCGAGCGAGCCGACTGCGCCATTTTACTTTTTTTCTATTACCATATCGTGCACCCATATCTGCCTGCCATCTGATGCAGAATTCAGGTTGAGCACCCCATTCTGAAATCACTGAAAAATATTGCGAGGAAAATTACCTTGATGCTAGGGGTCCTGTCGGTAAAACGCTTGTAACGCAAGCTCATCCCAAGAACCCATGTGAAGATCTGGGTGTGGTGGGGGGTGCCCTCAATCTCAGCACTGGAGAGGTGTGGACAGGAGGATCCCTGGAGACCGCTGGCCAGTCAGGCTAAACGAATCAGCGAGCTCTGGGTTCAGGGAGAGACCCTGTCTCAAAATACACAGTGCAAGGGAGGGCTGGCAAGCTAGCTCGCTGGATAAAGGTGGTTGCCGCCTGAGCCCAGGGACCTGCGCTCAACAGGTGGCACCCATGTAAAGGTAGAAGAACTGTCCCCTGACACACACACACACACACACACACACACACACACACTCAGGGAGGCACCTGTACTCCCCCCACTAGCATGCCCACACACAACAAGAGGTAAGAAAGCAATATTAAGATAAATAAGGTGGGAAGCAAGCGTAGAGACACCTGAGGTCCACCCCTGACCTCCACACCCATGTGCACACACATTTAAACACTTGAGCAGGAAAATCTACACACAAGACAAGCTGCCTGGAGAGTATAAATGTAAAGCCTTTCTAACCGGTAAATGAATGTCTAGCACAGGCTTGGGTGAGGTCTCAAGACATCTCACTACACGTATGCAAGTGTTTCCCTAATCCGAAGCACTTCCGGGCCCACCATGTTGGATAACAAACTAAGCCCTCACGGGCCAAACACCATTTTCTGTAGGCACGATGTTACACTTTGTGGTCAGACTAGACAAAAACAAACAGTGGGTCACAAGTGACAGCGTCCCCCATGTCGGTGGATGGGGGTGTGACACCTTCTCATGGGTTCTGTGAACGGGGAACTATTACCTCCTGGGCCTGGAGGGAGGTGGGGAGATACCATGGCACTCACAGGAATTTCCCATTGACCTTTGATCCTATGAGGACCGTCTGCTCGGACTCCTCTCTGGAGATTTTGCCATGGAACCAGGGCATTTTCTCGTGCGCAGTGGTGGCGATGAGCTTCTCCAGCTGGGGCTTCTGGCTGATGATGGCCTGCTCCAGAGCCTGGCCCTGCCGTGAGCAGAGAGGGAGTGAGCTGGCTGTGCAGACACAAGGCAGACCCCATCACACCCAAGCCTCACCCTTCTCTCATTCAGTCACTAAAAGAAGGGAGCCAGTAAGATCTCTGTATAATACTTGCATGTCTGCAAGCATATTAAAAAAAAAAAATAACAGTTTTGGAATGAAAAGATGGGCCCTTGAAAAGCCAGGCAACTAGTTAAATATGTAGGTCATTCACCCATGGAGTCAGGGAAGGAATCCTCCAAAGACACCTGTATACTCAAACAAGGTTCTGTGTGAAAACCGAGTCATTTCATAACAGGCAGGAAACCTTAAGAGGTGTGCATGTAGTGAGGCAGCCTAGAGGGAAAGGTCTCAGCTTGCTGCCAAGACTGCTGTCTGTTCCCAGCACTGGCGTGGTGAAGAGAGACTGACCCTCAAGTTGTCTGACCATCACATTCATGCTGTAAGCCTGCAGACACCTCCTCTCCCCCACAAATAAATAGATGTAACCAAAGAAAAATTTAAAAAAAAGATATACATGAGGAAGGCACCCACTGGCGTCTCTGTCAAGATCCAGCTTCCTCCTCACTCCCCCCCAACACACACACACACACACACACACACACACACACACACACACACACAGGAAATGCCATCAGAGGAGGCCCAGGTGAACAGCCTGGACCATGCAGGAAACACGGTGGAAATAAAAACAGGGAAATGGGTCAAGCGCTGAGAGGACTGATTTCCTTTCCCTTCCTAGTGAGAGAGCAACAGATCTTGCTAATGAATTGCCAGTTTTATATATATATATATATATGATAAATAGAGAGACAGTCAGATAGATAGATAGATAGATAGATAGATAGATAGATAGATAGATAGATAGATAGATAGATAACCCAAAGGAGTGAAGTGAAAACACGACTTTCTCATGCAGGGAGAAGGGAGGAGGATACAGAGCAAAGGGGAGTGTGGGCCTCAGCTTTCACCACTCGCACAGATGGCAGTGGGAGCCAAGGCAGCGAGGGGCGTGGCTACGCAGGCGCCTGGACAGCAGCAGAAGCTGGAAAATCCACCCAGACAGCACTGCCCCCGCCCCCAGTCTTCGCATAAAGCACGCAAAGGCTTCTGGATGGGTCTCCAGGACTCTGTGGTCTCGGGGAACAGCGCCCAGCACACTCACCTGGAGGTTCCAGGTCTGTTTCACATATTCCCTGATGAGGTTCTCCTTCAGGTCCTCGAAGGGTCCGGTCTTGGGCTGCACCCCTGGGGGCCGGTTGAAAGGCTTCTTGAGGAGGCAGACGAGGCCATCTGATTCCTGGGAGTGGTAGAGGCAGAGGTCTGCCGGGCTGGCATGCGTCCTGCCACCGGAGATGGCATAGGTGCCGTTAAGCTCCCTCTCGATGGTGTAGTGGTGTGCCTTCCTGTTGTGTGCCACCGACAAGGCGAAACCACCCAGGTAGTTGCGGCTCTGGCGCAGCAGGTAGAGCCCGTCACTCATGCCTCCCTGGACCAGGTAGTCTTCAGCCTCTTCCCGGGTGATGTTGCCGAAAAAGTAGGGCAGGTGGTTGGCGCTGTCGGCCGCGTTGCCTGCCATGGCTGCACCCCTTCAGAATTCCAGGAGGTGTGCAGAGAAGTCCCTGGGGACAACAAAGATGGGAGAGCTTCAGTGAGGAAGCCAGACAGCCAGGGACACTGAGCCAGCCAGGCACTCCTCCACCGGGACACAGGCCTTTCTAGCTTAAAATGACACACAATCCTATTTGATGGTGGTTCTTTCTGTTACCTAATTTGCAGTTTCCCAGCATGCACCCCAGGCTTAGTTAACTGAATCCACGGCCTTTGACAAAGATGACCCAATTCACTATTGTTTTCTCTAGTGGGGGAAAAAAGGAATTCTAGGAAGAAACACAGAAAAAGAAGTGCACAGTAGTCTTTTTGACACACCCTGAGTGTGGACAGTGGAACATGGGACAGAATCAGCAAGGACGCAAAACCCTAGGTGGCCTATGGAGGCACAGACCTCACTGGGAAAAACTATGGGCTCCCTCAGTCTCTTGGGTTTTGTGTTGCCCACACTGACCTTGAACTTTGTATGAAGCCCAGGATGACCCTCAACTTCTGATCCTCCTGCCTCCCCAATTTGAGATCGGAGGCATGAACTATTTTGTGTGATGCTGGGGTGTAAGCCAGGGCTTCACACATGCTTGGAAGGCACATGCGTATGGCTGAGCTACACCCCAAGCCCACGGAGCCCACGTCATGTAAAGAAGCACTGAAGTCACACCTCAGAGGGCTGTAGCCATAACCTCTTTACCACAGGCCTTCTCACCTCCTGCCTGGGGTACAAAGGGCAGCAAGTGGCTTCCCGAGTTACAAACATGACATCTACCCAGAGCCCCCTCTCCAGCAGCCTTGGGTGAGACTAAGAGAAACATCCAGAGTCCTGGCTGGTCCCCTGCACCCGCCACTGCATAGCACAGAAGCAGTCAGTAGCTGCAAGTGTGAGAAGAGCTGGACACAGGAAGGCACTTCCTCCGAGGCACACGCTCGGCAGAAGAGACACGAAAGCAGGGATCCATTTGTGAGTGACAAAGATGCACAGTGCCACCCAGAAATTGTTCAAAGGGTGTTTAAATAAAAGGCGCTGGTCGTCTGGAAAATAACGGACGAAGCAACCCTTTCGTCGGCGGAGAGACCACTTACTACTCCTCGTTTTCCTCAAACTGCCTCCCTCCCACAGCATCCTGTAATCACGCATGACACACACACCACATATATGTACCACATGCCGTACACGCACACACTGCAAGATATAGCACACATCACACACGGTGATAGGTCACCCGCACACAGCACAAACACGTGTCACGCGCCACAGGTACACACATCCCACACACGTCAACCATAGCAAACAGCACACACCTACACGCGCCGCCCATGGTGCACACAGCCAGTGCACCCGAGGGAAATACACAAGCACACTCCCACTGCACGCTTAGCGCAGCATGCACACATGCCACACCCAGCACAGCGCGAGCACGTACGGACACGCCACGCTCACGTCACCCGGGGTTCCCTGGAAAAGCCATCCTCTGCGTGGCTGCACAACCCAAAGATGCCATGTGGGTACCGGTGACAGAGTGTCCTGATACTGTGCCTCGAGGCGGCGCCACGGAGGGGAAGTCTGCGGTCATCCCGCAGAACGCAGAATGCAGAGCTTCTAACGTTTGACCATCACCTACTGTCCTTGTCCGGCCGGTTTCTAAGACTCCATCTCCGCTCTCACACAGGGACAGCCAAGCTTCCTCTTCTCCATCTGTCCATCCTGTCACATCCTCCCCTCTCCCCTCCCTGCTCTTCTGACACTCCTCAGCTTTTCTGTATCGCACCTTCTAGGGATCTTCGCTGATCACACAGGCCTCACACGCTATGGCTCCTGCCACCCCAGCGACACTGACTGGAGCGCACTAGGCTGCCCGAACTGCCCTGTGCACATACGTGCTGGGGAGTGTCCCAGTGGACAGCCTGAGCAACACGGAAGGTTTCAGGGCTGATGACCAAGTGTGTTTCTCAAATATTCATCACCATGGACTTTTTTTAAAAAAGTTTTGTGGTGAGAACCTTCAGAATCCTTCCTTTTTAGCTATTTTGAAATATGAAGTCTATTACTGCTGGCCCATTTCCAGGAGCTCCCTGTAACTCTGTCCACTTTGACTAGCCTCTCCCTGTCCCCACCACGGCTCCCAGCCTCGGGAATCACCACGGCACACGCTACATTGCAGCCTCCTCCTCCACAGGAAGCCCCTTTCACTTTTAGCGGGAAGGAAAAAGCCTGGTGTTGTCATTCTTGTCCAGCAGCCGCTTCACTTTGACCAGCTGACTTCTGACACAGCAGGTCATTCAGGTGCTGGCTGCAGGAAGGAGGTACCTGGCAGCCTGTGGAGGTGGCAGCTCCTGGCATAGCCTAGGCTCTAACTTGGGCATGCATAGCATCAGAGTAGACCTTCCCAGGGCTGGCACTCCTAGTGCCCTTGGGACCTTATTCTGGTCCCCATCCTCCTCTTACCCAGACTACCTTCTAAGATGGCCATCGGCCATGCAAGACTCACAGCTGAATACTGGTCTCAGCTCTGCTTTGCAAACATCAGCTCAAGCCTAAGGTTCCAAACTCACAAATTCAGCTTTTCACCAGGCACGGTGACACAGGCCTGTGATTCCGGAGCTCACATTCCCTGCAGGACACTTCCAGCAGTTCTTAGCCATTGAAGATTGCTGGTGTTCCCATCACTGGACCACAGAGCCCCTGGTGTAATGTGAACTGTAGCTGGAGAAAATGGCTCTCTGGGAAAACACCACCCACGAGTAACATCTGCCCAAGCTGGGCCACACAGGGAAACAAAATCAGGAAGATGCAAATTCAGGCTCATTGCACTTGAAACCACGAGGCCACCCCAATGCAAAACAACCCCACTCAAGTGTCCCTGGGAAATTTTCTTGCAGCCTTAAGTTGAGTAAAGTAAATACTAGAACTTCATAAAAAAAAGGAAAAAAAAAAAAAACTTCCTTTGGGGGTTACGTTAATTTTCATTTAAAAAGAGGAATGAGCCTAGCCTAGACGCTAGGCTAGCCAGGCTGGTTGGTGATAGGAGAGGGAGGTGTCACAGGGCCAATCCCCTACTCCAGGCTCTGCAGCTGATGGCCCGCAACTGCTCTTCCCGGAACTGTGAGCATTCACATGTGGGATCCCACCATGCAGGAAACACACGGCCCGAGCTTGGGGCCTGAGCAGGAAGAAGGGAACCCGGGGGAGACTGAGCCTAAACCACTCAGGGCACCTGCCTGGCTTCTTCGCTTGCCTGGGCTTGTCCTCTGGGAGGCCATCTTGTGGGGGTCTGTCCCCCAGACTTCCTGTACCCTGCCTGGATGCCACACTGCGCAGACTCCTAGCCTCCCCAGGAGGAGCCACACCTTTCTTCAAGGAGACCCCTCCCTGTGTCATACTGGCAGCAGCACTGGGGACTTCTCAAAATGACTCGGCCTGTGCTTCAGAGAGAGGAAGCCCAGCCAGGGCTGTCCTGCTTGATGTCCACCATGATTCAGAAACAGAGAGCCAGCAAAGTGCACAAAAGCATGTCCCGAACCTTCAAAACCAGATCAGTATGAGGCAGCCTCAGGAGCAGAGAACCCCACAAACAAACCTGGCAGAGGCTAACCCATCCCTGCTGGCCGCTGGACCTCTTACACAGGGAAGTTCTCTAAGCTGGTCTCTACGCCCACCCGGACACCGTTAGCACACATCACGGAGCAGAAGAGTAACTGTTTGCTTACGAGCAAGCGACCAGCCCACTTAAGTGCACTTGATTTGTTCACGCTCGTGTGGGGGTGTGTGGGGGATGCCCATGTGTACGGAGGCCATAGAGTACTCTCACAGGTTGTCCTTCAGGCGTCACCCACCTTGCATTTTGAGACAGGGCCTCCCACCAGCCTTGAACTTGCCAGTAGGCCAGGCTACCGGGCTAGCAAGCCCTGGCATTCTGCCTCTTTCCACACCTCCCCAGCACGGGAATTACACACACGTGCCAGCACATTCGGCTTTTTAAAATGTGAGTGCTGGAGACTGGACTCCGGTCTCTGTCCTTGCCTGGCAAGCACGTCACCAACTGCAAGATTGTCCCAGCCCCTGCTACACTTAACTCTCAAATCTAAGTCACAGACCCAACCGTACAGACCCGCTGAGTGGCTATCACAAGCTCCTCAGCAAGGTCCATGCCAGAGAAAGCGTGAATGCACTGCTTCCCTGACAACGTGCAACTGGGAGAAAGTTCTAGAACAAAAGGTGCCGGGATCTAGTCAGGACGGCATACACCCTGGTTTCCCATGCACCTTTTGCATCTTCTGGCTGGCACCGCCCGCAGATGGCAGGCACTCGGGGTCCAAGCCTCTGCATTGTCAGCGAAACAGCCCCCCCCCCACAGCGTTAGACCAGTGCAGACGCAACAGGAGGCCAGAGGACGAGAACGCCATACAGATGTGTTGCCTGCTGACTTTTAAGCAGGGAACTTGGAAACTTCTGCTAGACACCAGAATTTTCCTTCTCAAAGTGACACTGCCTGAGAGGGAAGCAGGTAGACCATATTCTCCCTGGCACACTGGACAGCGTCCTGACACAGCAGAGAAGCCAAGCAGGGAGGACCATCCAAGCTGCTCCCCACTCGCATGAAGGCATGCATCATGAATCCAGTGCCTTACTGTGACATAGGGAGGTAGAGACGGGAGAGATTCCTGAAGCTCGTGGGCCAGGGGGCCTTTATATACAGCACTGAACTACAAAGAGGCTGATAGTCATTCAGAGTGGGCCTCTGAGCTCCACATATGTACCACCAAATGCATGTGTCAGCACGCTCTCTCATACACCACACACAGGTGTATACACATAATATGTACACACCACACACATTTACCATACATACAGTTATATATGTGTGTATATATATATACATATAGACACATATAGACATCTCTCTCACACACAGAGACACCATACATACAGGTGCATACATATCTACACACACATACCTTGTACACTCACATAAAATGCCAACAGCTGAGTAAGCACCCGACATTTCATGAAAAAAAT